CCGCTGCAGGCATGTGTAAATTCCCAAAATGAACACCGTTATTCCCGATCTCCTCTAAATTAGCCAATTACAGGTCAGATGCAAAGATTTGTCGCTCATTAAGACGGGGCGAAACTGTCAGTATTATCAAGTCCAATTTTAAAGTTCAAAACTTTAAATAGTTGCAGTAGATTTCTGTGTAAATTTAAACGCCTTACGAATTTAACACCGCCTATTTTGAGAGTTTCTCCGTCCAAAGAAATTGATTTTACACAAAATCATCGTAAATCTTCCGGGATTTTACGTGGGAACACATTTCTAAACTGCCTGCATTATACGCAGTGAGGAGCTATTATTTCTATGGTGCATATGCATAAGAATATGCCTCGGAAAATTAACTGTGCATTGTTTATTGTCTTATAATTTGAGCCAGAAACAATAGTTCGTGTCTCCGTGGTGCTGTCCAAATCGAAAATTTTTAACATGCCCATTGCCCAGGTCACTTTACATTCTAAAAAACTAACCGGATCCTCAGTCAGATTTTTTTCGAATCGTAGCCGGCACATTTACTTTAAAAAGTCAAGTTCAAGTATTTTCCTCCGTTCAAGAGGTTGTAGCGGCGAGGTGTTAATCCTAACTACCGGTGTCAGCATAAGCTCTTGGACAGTGTAGTTGCTCCCCAGGTTTCAAGTGGTTCGCGGATGGAACATCCTCGAATTTCAGAATTCTAAACATCAAACATCCTAAGTGGCATCAGGTGCTGTTAACATTGAATGCAATTACTCTCCGTGCAAGAGCCCACGCTTCGATAAATGGGACTCATTAGACAAGGAAACCTGTTACTTAATTGATTCCTTGACTATTTTCCGTTCTGCTGAGAGAGATAGAACGATGTGCCAAGTAACCTTGTAATTGAGTTTCAATGTTGCGATGTAATTTTTATGGTTTTCGAGAAAGTTTAACACGGAGCACACGGTTAATTTCCGCAACTAAAATTGTACTTTGCGCAAAAAAGACCGACGATTGGCCCCACTCGGTGCCAAGCACATTCACTGAAAAAAAAATCTGGAATCAAAGTTGATACTGCTGAATTTAATATCCACTTGACCTAGCCATTTTCTTTTTGTTCCTAGAGAAATGCAACTTGAAACAAGATTTAAAGAAAAAATAAGGGGAAAAATTCAGGAATCATCATGCTTAACCCTATCACATTCGGTGTTAGCCTCGTGAAATTTTCACTGGACGTTTCCTCAATTTTTGTCTCGATTACAAGGGAGGAATCATTGGTATTAGGAGCAGTGTTCGAAACTCACCTTTCAGTTTTAGGAGCCATTGAAGATTTTTTAGAGGCCAAATTGACTTTTTGCCTATATATAACGGCGCATTTAGTGAAAAGTTAGACGCAAGATGTTTCCGTAACAGATCCAGTAAGAAGCTTTAACTTAGGGAAGACAAAAGCCCTAAGGATGAAATAGCGAAGAATAGAAAAAGTCTTATTTGTAATGCTGAAAATTTCAAATAATCACCTAATATGAACATTCGGATTTTTAGAGGGCAATTTTTAGGGGCCACACTGGCGCAGAGCCTTCATTTTTTAGGCGCATTTGGCGCGTTGGCGCCTGTGAGTTTCGAACACTGATTAGGAGGCTGCTAAATTCCCTTTAAATAAAAGAAACGGTCAGAGAATCTTATCCCAGCAACACATAGGTTGTTCTGAACTTCAAAACTCTTCAGATGCTAAGCTGGGTACTTAGGGACCATTTCATCGTTTTTCTGACTGGGAGGCTAATTGCATTATGAGACGATCTCTGTCTTACGCATGCCACCATGCTCTCTGGGGCTCAAGTGGAAATGAAAATACGTCCTTTCGTCAGAGCGACGATTTATCTAGGGAGCAAAGCGGCACCTACACTCCGATGTATCTTTGAAATTCCCCTGACGCGCGAGACGGATTACTTTCGGGAAAATGATGCAAAAACCTAAAGTTTTGAGAGAGACGCCTTTACTTAATCCTGTCCTTTCGAGAAGATAAAACATTTGTTGTACATATACATCACCGGACTGCGCGTCTTTTTGCACACGCGAACCCACCTTATCGCAATTTGCTTAAACCCGAGTAATAAATGGATTTCATGACGCTGTCTGAATAGGAGAGACAATTTAACAGACCGAATGGTAAAAAGCGAATGATGCAATGGAGTGCTTGCGAGAACGCGTCATGTGTCATTACATAGCAATATATTTTTGAGTATGGGGAAAATGCATAAAGTACATAGAGTCGTCATGCAAGTGGGAGAGCTGGCGCCACTTTTCAGCATTTTCCAGGTCCCGAATTCCGAGATTCCTGTGCGGCGCCGGGTCCCTTTTTCGATACATGATCGATTGTTTGCGATACACGGGAACCCGGCCGTATTCTCTACCGCCATTTTGGATCGAATATGTATCGAAAAAGTGACCCCGCACACCGGGCTCGGAACTCGTGGAGCAGAAAATGGCGCCAGCTCTCCCGTTTACATTACGATTCTATGTACTCTATGGGAAAATAGTGACGATTTTCACGAGTTTGCAATACTGTTTTTTCTTCGTGTACGATCTTTGTGAAAAATTGATTCTGGGTGAGTCGGCCTGCGGGCCGATTATTGAAATTGATACTCAAAGCTATAGAGAAAGAAGACTAAATGAATATTAAGGGTGGAAGCGGGTGGTTGCAATGGACACAGGAGGTAGGTAATAGACTAACTAATGTCAACCCACGAGAGACCCTATTAGTTAGACCATCAATTTATCCCTTAATCTATGGGAGCTCCTCATTTCAAAGAATAGAATTGCTCCGTACGCCCTATGTCTTCTTTGTCTATCGCTATGTCTTTAAATTTCAATAATCGGCCCGCTGTGATAAATATAGTTTGTTTTACATAGATTCAAAAAGTAAAAGGACTTCCAGTTGTTATCAATTTGCTCGAAGCGTAACTGGAAAAATACGATGGTGCCATTGGCTTTCTTTAAAATCAACTCTCCAGCATAATGGAAAGTTGGAAATTTGAGGCTGTAGTAAGGACGCATGTCTATTAGATATTCCACGTCTGTATGCAATCGCATTTTTTACGCAGACACAATGCAGAATGGCGTGAGCACGGTCGAAAATTCGCCACTGTGCGTGGAGACAAGAAGTGTGAAGAGGGTGATTCTCCACTTACAGCCATGGCAACCTTGCTGCGTAAGTTCGAGAAAATATTTCGGAGAAATCACGAGAGTATATGGGAAGAAGATCACAAAGTGATTCGGGTGATTCTGAGCTTTCCTGGTTTTTAGGACCGTAACAACAGGATGCCAGGAAACCTCGGACTCCCTGCTTCGCCGCACAATGAATCGAGTCATCGGGAGCGGTGGAACATAATTTTTATTTACCTAAAGTGCAAATTTAAATGCTTATTTTGTGAACTTTTAAAGTTTGAGGAGTGCTTTCCAAAGAAAATTTCACGAGAAAATCAATGACACCACTTTTACTACCTCCACGCTTTGTACTAATAAAGTTGCGAGCTTTTAAAGTTTCCAAATTTTATCCGACTTCTCTCATTCATCCTTCTCCTCATTCTCGTTCCATTGTGTGCCACTGCAAGTTTTCTGACTCCACGTGTGCTCTAAGCCCCTTTTTTTTCTTTGAACCCCTTTCCCCCTCCTAAAAGCTAAGCTGCGATCCTGCGGGTTTTTCACTGTTCCCTGTGCCGAGACAAACACCAACTTTTACATACTGCTGCAACGTACTATGAGTACGTCTATATACGTACTAGTCAAAATTTCAGGTACACGGTACAAGCGACTTTATATTGTTGGACGCATAAGTTAAGTTGGGTTTCAAAAAAAAAAAACTTTATGCCTATTGCCTAATAATATTTCCGAGGCTGTTAAGAAAACTGCGATCTGAGAAAATTATTCCATGGTTGAATTTGGCAATTTGTCACATTGTTCTGCGTGAACTTTTGTGAAAATGTATGTGTTCGGACGCTTAATTTGTTTTTATTCGGACAAAGGGCCTTCGTCCACCAGAGTGAAATTTGCAGTGAAGCGATTTTTGTCGAGTTGGGTGGAAAAATTTGCTTTTCGCTTTAAATGGAAAACTCTCTATTGTCCTGAAAAATAAATTATGAGTGTTTTGTTCCTTTTTGTGCCAAGGGAGCGTATAGTTGCACCGTAATTCAGAAACTTCGTATTTTACTAAGCATATTGGATTAAAATTTTAAGTGGGTAAGCATAGCGTTAGGACAACTACCTTTAAATCAATTCAACTCGGGCTAAGTTTGACGTTTTGGAGTGTTTTTGTCCAAAAATGTTTCTTGAACATTCTTCAATGCTATGGCATCTTATAATTTTAAGTTTTGTGGACGAAGACACCTTTTTATGTGAACGATTACACTTTTTCCACCATGTTTCCAATTATTAGACTTCAAACCTGTGTCTCTCCCAGTAAACAAAAAATTAGTCAATCCCGTCATACATATAATACATGAGGGGCCTGGAGGACAAAGATCATATGTGCAGTTTTTACTACTTCAAGAAATATGTGTTTGAAGTTTCAAAATTACATGGACCCTTTTGGCGGAAAGAAAGTTCAAAATGACATTTTTATGCCAAAAAATTGGAATTTGGGAGCGAATTTTTCACAGATCATGCATTAAGACTAGTTTTACTTGAAATCATTAAGAGCTCAATTTTTCCAAAAACTGCACTTAAGCGCCTTGTCCTCCAAGCCCCTCAAATGAGATTGCAGGAGATTCACCCTCCCCCCCTCACCCATCAACGTTATCCGTAAGCAGCAACCGCCAAAAAATTTTACTATTCCAAGATAGCCTAGAGATGCCCTCCTACAAATAGAATTCAACTCTCCCGAGGACAATATTCGTTTCGAAACAGCTCTCATATGAATTTTCCCAGCGTCTCTTCCAGTACTCCACCGCACTAAGGAAAAAGGTCGTAAGAACCCTCAGGCGATGCCTTTTGATTAAACACGAATTCCCAGGTGAATTTGTGAATATTTTTCTTCCAATTTTTCAGATAATTTTGTTTGCGTTTTCACCTAAAGTTCCAGAAAATTTCAAGGAAATATTTACATACTCTCTTAAAATAAACGTTTCATCGAAGAAATTTTGACAATTCTCGAATGTTCACACGGCGTTCCTCCTTAGCACGGCAGCACTCTGATCGACAATAACAACAAATACACCAAAACATTCAGCTTTCCTCACTAATTTTAGCCGTGGATCACGAGCAATAACAGTTTTCGGCACGGATTACCGATACAAAATCGATAAGAAGCACGTTATTTTTCTGTTTACAAACTTTGCCGCGGAAACCTGTCCGCACACCGGTGCCTTATCGGAGCAACTATCCGCGAGGTGTACTTACTTGAGCATTCTGCTAGGTCACCGAACAACCTCCACTCCAATATTTCGGCTGCCAGACGGGCGAGAATAACGTGGACCCAACGACGATTCCCTGAAATTTCCGGCACCACGAGTTTATAAGGGTTGAGCTTAGACTCGAGTGAAAAAGCACCGAGCACCGCACACTTGAAATAGCGAAAGCGAAGCACTTAGAAGCGACAAGGCACTTTTCGGGTGACTGACTCTAGCACTTGATCCCACTGTCCTCGCCGCACGCCTCACTCACACATCCACACCCGCGACTCCACACACAACCACTGAATTTGCAGTCGTTCTCTCTAGTCTCTGCATGATAATGGCCATCTTAATGAGGATTCGCTACCCCGCGGATTGAGCCCTCCACTCTACCTGTGAAGAACGGCGTATGAGCCCTCGGACGTTGCCAAAGTGCCTTTGATAAACCACGGATTTTCTGGTCGACTTGTGAATATTTTTCGGTCAACCCTGGTAGCAACAACTATTAAAAGGTAACCAAAATTCGTTAATTTTAAAAAGACAACTTCGACAGAAACTGTTGGATTATTCTTTCACTTCACCGAAAAAAAGGATGCTGTTTAAAATGGGGGATGTTAGAAAGTGTGCGACATCTCACAAAACGCTGAATTAATCGCTACAGCGGTTAAAATTTTTTTAAAGAATTCTTGAAAAGGTAGTAATTTTATTTGAAAGAATTTTTTACCAGACTTACTCAAGAAACTCACCAGAGAGGGTATCGTCAAAAAAATAATTTCAACAATTTGTTTAAAATCCTTCAAAAATTGCCTCTGAATGTCATTGATACAATGGAAGTTTTCGCAAAGTTAAATTCGTAATTCAGTTCTGAAAATGTTAAGGGAAAATATGCATATTTTGCCTTGATAAACATTTTTATCGAGAGAAATTTGGCAAAGTCTGAATGCTCAAACGTTGTTTTTTCCTAGGAAGGCAACGCTGCATGGTCTAAGTCGCCGCGCGCATAAATTATTTTCTCGTTGCAGAATTCCCAATTTTCCGCGCTTCCGCACACCGTGGTTGAAATTTCGCACGTCGTATTTAAATCGTGGCACTGTGTCAAACACTGCCATGCTGAGGAAAAAATCCAATATGAACATCCGAATGTTGCCGAATGGATACAATTGCGCTAAAAGGAACCTTGTCAAAAATGAATCAAATCGAAAGGAACCGTGTACATCGGTTTTGCGTGCTTCTTGGTTCCTTTCATCACGATTACGCTTTTTCTTTCGATAAAATACGAATTATCGGGAAAATTTACGGATATTTATCATTGAATATTTCCGAAGAATTTGATTCGCTCTTCGATACAGCGTTGATATTATTATAAGAGAAACTCAACCGAAATTTGGCCTAATTTTGCGTATAAATATTTGAAAGAAAATGAAGAAAATTCGCAGAGAATTTCAAGAAAAACTAGTGACGGGTTTCTTTTTCAAAAAATAAAACAAGAACAGAGATTTTAATCGTCACAATCGTAGATACGTACTTCTCAACGCTGGCCATCAACATATGTGTGTGAAGCATTGATAATCAAAACGCCTTCAATTCCTCCAATATGCAGCACGGACAACTATCAAGCACGAATAGTTGCGTCAAAGTGTTGTAGACGGTAATTTGCGACGACGTCGTGTATTTCTCGTCACACTTCTTTTTTTCCGGGGAAACTGATGAAAATTATTCCTTTGAAAGTTCACTGACTCGACTACATCCCATCCAGAATCTTCAGTGTTCGTAAAAATTTTAACAAAACAACAAGGTCACGCCCGCAATGTCTACAACACTTTGATGCAACTATTCGTGCTTAATAGTTGTCCGTGTTGCATATTGTGGGATTGACGGCGTTCGGCTGCCTATGCTTCATCCTTTATTACGTGTACTATCCTGGATATAATAACGTCACACAAGCTGAGGGTGACCTGAAGATATAAATGTTACCCGGTAATAGTTGGGGATAATACTGAAAAACAAGGGTCTCAAATTCAAAAATGACACATTTTTTTTATTATTTTCGAGTTAAAAGCTGTTTTTCGACAGAGGCTAAAGGGTGCATCAGCACTTGGTGATTTCTAAAGGATAATTTGTGTTGAACGCCATTTATTTACTTTCGATATAAAAACTTCCGCCATAACGATTTTTTCCTCTATTGACGAGCGGTTTGGCAACAATGCAATAGTAACATATACAATAAATTGATGAATGGGAGGTTTGCGTATCGGTCTGTCATATGACTGCATATGGAGGTTAGAAAAAGGAGCGATGAAAATATTTGCGAAGCAACTTGACAGTTTTCAGGTGTATCAGAAATTAGGAAATTTTGAAATTATTAAAAAATTATACACTTTTTAGGGACAGGATATTGTGAAAATTTAAACAAAAGATTTTACCTTGCCGTGAATTTGTATGATAATAGCCGGTGCAGCTTTGGTAGGACATCTTCATCAAGCCATGGATTCACAAAAATAGTCGTAGCACTCACAAACTTACATTTTTTAGATACACTTAAGTAAACTTATTCGATAGGAAGTCTTTGACATCAAACTCCATTTCACCGACACGTGCAAATTTGCTCAACAGGGAAAGAAATGCTTTTGAGGTACAGAATGACTTGAAGGTAAATTCCTTTTATAACCTAAGAACACGTCCCTGTTGTTGACAGATATGTAAACATTGCAAATCGTTAAAATTAAAGAAAAAGAAAAAAAGGACACAATTCTGCAGAAGGAAATCAAGTTTATTTTTTGAAAAAAAGGGATCTGATTGTAATGCAAAATGCATTTCTCATTTTTCTAGAAGAAATGTTTCAGTATACAATTTTTGTTTGTAATAAATTGCTGTCACCTTGTTTGTTTATCCTTAAAGAAGTCAAAGCTACTCAAATCATAATTTTATTCTTTTATGCATAAAGAGTCAAATCAACTCAAAAGGAGAAACCGAGTGTATAGTTGACTTCCTCTCAGATTTCTTCATCAATCAATTAAATAGTCAGTTTAAAAAAAGAAAAAATCAACTTAAAGAGAAGAACCGATTGGATAGTAATGCATTTGGAATTTTTGATAACAAACAATTAACAGCGGTTTTGTATTTGCCAAAAAATTCGTTTCCTATCTATTAGGCTCGTTTCAGAAACAAACTCTGAAATTTTAATTTTCACGAGCATGTCTTAAATAATCCTTGCTCGATTATTTATTGTTGTTTTTATTTTGAGTCATGCTTTTTGTGCTTAAATAAAAAATCACATTTTCCATAGACTTTTTGCTTGATGACTCTTAAAAACGTGAGGAAAATATAAAATCTTGAAAGCTAAAACGCAGATAAATAAAGTGTTTACTTGTTGAAATTTCAGTTAATCGTATTTTGATAAAAGTAATTTTGAGAACCCTCTTTTAGGCTCCTAGAAAGAACGGCTGTAATGGGATTCATCGGGGATACACAAAACGACCCGGCTTTTTTACATCCTTTTTGAACATACTTATTATTAACTAGGTAAGCCATGTACAAATGAATTGAGTGAAAAGATACTATGAAGCAGGAAAATTCTATGTACATACTTCCTTTTGATTTTATTTGCTTATGCTGAGCTCCTTTCTAGCATAGGTACGTTCATTCATCTAAAGTTAAAAGGGCGCTTTCCATGGTATCCCTCCTCCCTCCTACACACACCATTTCTGCTGTGCTAAGGAAGAACGCCGTATGAACCTTCAGACGTTGCCATATTTTCTTCAAGAAACCCCGAATTTACTGAGGAAATTGTGAATATTTTTCCTCAAATTTTTCAGTCAATTTTGTTCACGATTTAATCTAAAATATCTGCAATTTTCGAAGAAAAATATGCCTAACTTTCCTCAATAATACATGATTTATTCGGGGAAATTTGGCAACTCTCGAATGTCCATACGGCGTTTTTCCTTAGCATGGCAGATGTGCCAACCGTCGTATAGGTATAAATGAAAATTGTTTAAATATTTTACCGGTTGAGAGGAAAAAACGAAAGACACGCCCGCTATCAAAAATTCAAAACGAAGTTAAGAGATAAAGTTGTACTTATTTTTGCGATGCCCTCGCTGTCTTTGTTCATTGTGTCCAATACACCAGTGCGACACAAAGTAGAATTGTACTTGCAAGAGGGAAAAACATGAAAGCTTGAATAAACAATTACGTAGCATCTAACAAGATTACTTACATTTCGCCTATTTTACACCATGATCTATTTTTTAGGTGCAATATTCTTTCAAAAATCAATTTTTTTCAAAAATTCACTACAAAATTTTGTTTGCTGGAAAAAAATGCATGACGGCAAGGCTTTTATGGTTAAGAACTGGGGGTAGAGGTAGGGCCCGGTGGTAAAACAATACTCCAAAGTCATTAGTAATTACCTTGCTAGGGGTAAAATTTCTGGTTATGGTGATAAAAGTCTAGATCCTATATAGATTCCTCCTCTGTATATAGTTACGTCGTCAACTCTTTTATGCATGCTCAGGACAACCTTTTTCACTTGGAAATATTTTTACGGTCCGCTTTTCAATTTTCATATTTCCACGAGGGGGCTGCATCCAAACTTTTTTAGGGTAAAAAAATAAGGATTTCTTTTGGGCTTCTCAGTGTGTTATTTACTCCGATTCAAGAATAATTAGTAATTACTTTTCACCCGTTTGGGGAAAATTGGACTTGAAGTAAGTACGAAACAAGAAAGCTTTTTTTAATACAAGTCGAGTAAAAAAATCAGAATATTATTGAAAAAACTTGTAAATAAACGAGTTACGCTTTTTGTCAAACCGGATACATACATAGTCGCTCTCACAGCGCCGGATAAAAGTGAGAAAATTTAACCCTTCCTTTCTAAAAAGCTGCACATTTTACATTTCTATTCGACAGTTTCGACCCTTCATCGTACAGCAAATTAAAACTTTGAAAAGCTTTTACTATAGAGACAATTTTATTTGAACTGCTAACTTCAAATCTTCATAGCTTTCATATGGTTGCATTTGGGGGGGGGGAGGTGAGGGGCGTTTTATAAAAAGTCCGAGATCTTAACGAAATTCCTTTATACGAAAGTACCGATGAGTCAATCGTTATGAAAACTTCAGCACTAAGTTCCCTTCACCCGTGAATGATCACGTATACTAATTTTTATAAATTATCACCAACGTAAAAATATTGCAAAAATTGAAAATTAACCACTCTGAATTTGCCAACAGTGAGTCTCAACAGTCGGCGATCCAAAATTTCAGACCTTCAGGAAGCTCTTAAGAGAAGCCCTTGATAATCAAATAAGTGAGCAAGCAGTAAATCATCATCTTTTTGAGGCTAGTGCACATGAGTAGAACTTCAAAGTTAGCATCACCCAGCAAAAAAATTGCTAATCTAGATTAGTTTTATTACTGAAAGTTGTAAATGTCTCAACTTTTATGGTACTTCATAACCTTGGTCTTACATTGTACCTGCGTCAATTTTTGCTAGACTGGGACTTAAGCGTGCGATATCTAATTTCTTATCTCAGGTATTCAGTTGGACATCAGAGAGCAGAAGGAATCTATCCTCGAAGATGGTTCGAGAAAACAGCATATGGTCTATTACAATGCTACGTAGGCACGCGTTTTTTCAATACGCTTTTTGAAGATAGATCTCCTCGCTGATTACGTCTAATTATTCATGGCAACCTAAGTGGTAATACATCTATTTTGCATGATATCATACTTTTTTATCTTTTTGTCTATGGGACGATTTTTTCCCCCTTACTTAAGGCTTATTGCGTGTGCAAATTTGAAGGTCGATCTTTACCAATAGACTTGACAAAGCCATCATTGTTGTGAAACTTGCATAACTCAATAATTAATATGAATTCAACATTTTCGACAACCCAGTATCATGCACCCCCACCGCACCCAAAAAGAAGATGTTTGTTTTAAATTTAACCTATAAGAAGATTGGATTAATACATTTTTCTCTGGCATTTGCTGGCATGGTCAATTGCTAACATTCAGTTGCTTTTAGACAAAACACTACTTGACGTTTAACATATGAGAGTGAATCACAATTAAATTTTAATTTCGTTATGAGTCAAACATCTATAAACGCTAGGTTCTTTGAGTGTCAGACGCGGACCAATAATATGTACTTGAAATATTCAACAGAGCTACAAAACTAAGTGTTTCATTTGATTACAAAAAATTTCTTTTCCGCGAGAAAGGAATTTTTTTTTGTATGATTTTTTGACAGCGCGCACGCGCTGAAAGAAGGTTGGGAATCTGACTGTTCGATTGAACTAATAGGAACTTTACTTAAAACGAATGACTGCGAATGAAGAAAGAGAGCGATTTAATCGTTACTCTAATACTTGAGCATCGGAGTGTAGCGTATGTTGCCAATGTGTTAATTGAAGGGGCTCCGCTGGTTGAAAATTAACTACAATGGAGTTGTTTAAAATGCATCCTACATCTGGACGTATTTCTGCTAAACGGAACTAGAGACGTGCGGGAAGGATGGGATATGCTCGTGGTGAGCTGCATAAGGAACAATGTAAAAGTGGGATTTTACATTAAGACAAACGGAACAAAGCGCCAACATGTATAATAACTCATGAGCCTTGGGCATGTGACAAGAGCGTTATGGACAGGGCTCATGAGTTAAAGAGACTCGCGTCCGAGTGCGTCCCCGTTGTAGCGTCGCACAGTGGGCTGAGTCATTCGGAGAGGTCGGACAAAATTTGGAAACTTCAAAAGCTTATAACTCCGTTTATACAAAACTTTGAGGTTCTAAAAGTGGTGACATTGGTTTTTTCGTAAAATTTTCTTCTAGATGTACCCATCAAAATATAAAATGTGACAAAATAAACATCAAGATTTCCAGATTGAGTAAACGATTTCATGAAACGATTTTTTAGGAGTTTAAAACACTACACAAGAGTAAAATTTAAGATTCTAAAAAATTTAAAAAACTTTTAAGACAATTTTGAACCACTCACTTGCATAAAATCTTCTTTTCACGGAAGCGGACGCGTTTCGGAGGTTACCTGCCCTCCATCATCGGCGCGACTGGTCAATTCCAATCAGTATCAGAAATACCAGTCATCTCCATATCCTTTGAGGTGAGTTGATGAAACGATTTTTTAGGAGTTTAAAACACCAGGTAACCTCCGAAACGCGTCCGCTTCCGTGAAAAGAAGATTTTATGCAAGTGAGTGGTTCAAAATTGTCTTAAAAGTTTTTTAAATTTTTTAGAATCTTAAACGATTTCATGTCCGACCTCTCTGATTGACTTGATCCACTGTGCGTTGCCGCTGACGTCACTGTCACTTCATAATTCCCATTCACGCTTACGGCCCGAGAACTAACGAGCACACCCGCCTTCTTTCCCGGTTCCATAGAGCAGAGCGGTCCATTTGATCGTTTTATCACTTAAAATTGGCATGGTTTGACCAAATTATGTAGAAATATTGCAATTTCATTCCAAAAAATTGCGAATTTTCTCCAATATGATCATTGAAAAATTTTTCTGGAGAGGAAGTGAGGCCACGAAAAGTTGATGAGCGCAAGAGATGATATGCGCAGGATGATTGATGCAGGTGATGAACTGATGATTGAGTGGATAATGCTAATTGATGCAGATGACTCTTGATAAAGATTTCAACACTTTTTTAAGGAAGGGTCCATTTTTTATTTTATTCAGATTACTGTGAAACATGAGAGCAGACATTTTAGGTTCTGCGTTTATTTGTAAATTAAAGAAAGGACTCATCTGCATACAATTTCATCTCTTCCTGCGGAATACTTACTTTGAAGTAAAGCTCATAGATGCGTGAACTTCTTACACGAGGTGTGCAAAGGGAGTTCTATAAATATTTCCCCATTTGAAGCTATGGTGCAGAATCGATTATTAAGGTGTTCGCTGGAAACAGGCTGTTTATCGATCCTTCCCGTGGTTTAAATGGCAGATCAATCTATATATGCACTGGAAAAAAAAACACACTGGATGTAGAGTCCGGACTCTTAAAAACATCGACAAGAAAAAATAATCTTGATTCAATCGGATTTTTGCTTAAATCAAGAACCAAGCCTCTCAATTTGAGCGGATTTCCTTTTGATTTAAGCTTAAATCTGATTGAATCAAGAGTATTTTTTCTTGTCAATGTTTTCAAGAGTGTGGACTCTGGATCCAATCTGTTTTTTTTTTTTTCACAGTGAGTTTAATTTCCGCCGCCGCGCCGCGCTGACCGCACTGTGTTTGGCGCAATGCGTGAAGTATTCCTAAAGTCTTGTATGCGGTATGCGTTTCACGCCAGCCGCTGCTGCACGGACTGTATTTGACGCAATGCGTGAAGTATTCAGGCAGTCTTGTAGGCGCTATGCGTTTCACGACGCCCGCTGCTGACCGCAGCGACCACACTGTCTTTGACGCAATGCGTGATGTTTTCATGCAGTCTTGAAGGCGGTAATATGTGTTACATGCCGACCGACGTGCCGTGCCGAAGGATTCTCCTCTTCATCTCAAGTTCTCGTCAGCATTGCTCTCTGCGCCGCGCCATTCTAGGCCAAATTCCGTGTTCAGTTTCTCTCTTAGTCTTAACTCAACTAATTAAAGGTGCTGTCTATTTTATCACAGAAAGACGACAAAATTAGAGATATTCTCTCTTAAAAACATCGACAAGAGAAAATAATCTTGATTCAATCGGATTTATGCTTAAATCAAGAACCAAGCCTCTCAATTTGAGCGGATTTCCTTTTGATTTAAGCTTAAATCTGATTGGATCAAGAGTATTTTTTCTTAACAATGTTTTCAAGAGCCTGGACTCTGGATTCAATGTGTTTTTTTTTTTTTTTCCAGTGTGGCAAATGACGCCACGCCACTGACGGCAGTCTGTGGCGTGGCCTGGATTCTCTGTGGCCTGGAAATTCTGGACCGTACGCCTTCAATTCGAGTGATACTTCTCGCTTTGCCGCTAAGTTAGTTTAGCTGCATGACCTAACTTATTATTGAATCGGTGAGAACGAAAACACACCAACTCGGTAACTCGAAAATGCTCTATTTACACGAAAGTCAGTCAATTTTCAAAAAAATCATTTAATTAGTGCATTTGTTCCAACTTGAACCTTTAGAGTGTCCTTAAGTTCTTGTCCTCCGGCGCCAAAAATTTTTTCCTTAGACTAACTTCTTCACTTACTGTGCAGTTCTATGTGCGTCTCGATTATTTTCGTTTTTTCGAGTTGGTGTGTCTTCGTTCTCACTGATTCAATTCGTCTTACAGTTTTTAAGTGGCAGAACGATAATAAGTGCACGCTTTTTTGTGCATTCAGCCAATTTGTTTTTAAATGTATACTGACGGAGATTGAAGTCAAAGAGATCAGCTGAAGGGTGACTCGCCCTCATGGATAAGCCTATCCATAATAAAATATAATAATAGCACAGTAATGAAGATAGGGAAGATCAAGCTGTAACAGTAGAAGTTTTATTTTTCAAACAACAAAATAAAATAAAAATAAATTTTTTTTATTACATAAGTTATCATACATTTAACAGCTGAACGTATCATGCTACTTGAAAGTAAAAATAATATGATTATCATGATCTAAAAATCAATAATTTATCCATAAAAAAATTTTTGAAGTGGACAGAAAAAAGCCCACCAGTCTTGATTTTCATAATTCTATTGACATTATACAGTCAACGAAGAAACTATCTATAGAAACAAGAGAAAATTAGCACTCACATCAAATGACAGGACTATATAACGATACGCGACGGAATGAATACAAAAAATATTGACGTGTACAAAAAACTCACTTCGAGTGCAAAGTAAGGCTATCCTCAAACTTGGAACGCAAGTCAGTAGTTTTGGCTTCGATAGGAGTATTCCAGTCTTGCACCTTGAAACAATTACGCTCTTGAGTTTTTAAATTATAATTACGCTCTTGAGTTTTTAAATTATAATTCCTCTCTTGGGCTTTGAAACTACTACTACGTTCTCGTGATTTTGGGAAACCGCTAATGTCTTGGGTGTTTGACCCGCTGGCCCTTTCTTGGGCTTTAGAACTTGCGCCTCTGTCTTGCTTCCAGCTATTCATAGACCTTCCTTGACCTTCCGGGCTGTTCCTCTCTGGCGTGACGAGCTCGGTATATTCTTGGGATTTCTCCTTTTCTCTCTCCCTCTCTTCCATGACCTCTGAAAATTAACAAATTTCAATCACTCAATGCTTGTAAATGATGTGCGAAAATATCTGGCAATGAAATCGAAATCAGCTGATACATCTTTCTTAATTGTTTTTCAGCGCTGAAATATATCGACGGTGTAAGTCCGCAATCACGTAACTCGATTTGCGACGACACAGATTTCCTATCACACTTTATTTTTTGAACGGAAAACTACTCAACGGCAATTCTTTAAAACTGTCGTGATTTTTCTTTCCTCCGCGAAGAAAACTTCAAGGAATGATGTCACTTTGTTCTCCTTTAAAAAAAGAACATAGAGGCGGAGATTTTCAGACACCGAAAACGAGATATGTGACTGCGAACTTACGCCGTCGATATTCATACTGTGTATATTAATCTGCCGTGCTATGGCTAAGGAAGAATGCCGTATAGGCCTTCAGGCGTTGCCAAATTTCCTTCGACAAAGCTCGCGATTTCAGGAAAATTTGTAAATATTTTCTCTCCAATTTTTAAAAGGATTTTGTTTGAGATTTTTTCTAAAGAGTCTGAAAATTTCAAAGAGAAATATGCATAACTTTCTTCAAAAATACATGTTTTATTTGAGGAGATTTGGCAATTCTCGAAATTTCATACGGCGTTCTTCCTTAGCGCGACAGTTTTGATGTTCGTTTTTCCTCTCTCCTTACCTACAGCTTTCGCTTCCGAGTTCCGTGCTTCTTACAATACAATTAAATTCTCAAAAATAAAAAGCTAACACATTCAAATTAAGGGCATATCTAACATACGCGTAAATTCTCATGTCTCTGACTTTATATTTTCAAAAGGACGAAAATCGTTCTCGAAAAGGAAGGAGATGAATATCGAATTCTTGATGACCGTCATTTTAAACTTCAGCACATTGCAGGGATGTATGCGCGTAAAAAAGGAGAATAAAAAAAGAAGAATAATGAAACCTGCACTATATGTATAATACCAAGACTCGCAGAGTGTTCCGAATACTTACTTAGAAAACTGGACGGCACGGAGGGCTTTGTACACAGATTCTTGTCTATCACTCCCGTGTCTATGATGCGTCTTTTGAAAGCGTATTTGCTATCATTATTCTTCTTTGGAGGAATGACATACTTGGGAATACCCTGAAACAAAATGCCAATACAACTTAATTTTTATTTCGAATAAATTCTGTGAACCATAAGTCCGAATAGGACAAGCAAACAGTTATTCAGAATTCTTAGGACCCAAGTAACAGGGATCGCGACAAGTTGCGATTTAATCGGAGAATGTATCGCTTTCTTGACGTCGATTCATTGCAACATTATCGGCTAAGAAGTTGCGGTAAATTGCGATTTAACCGTTTAAATTTGCGATAAAATCGCGATTTTATCGATGGCGATTCTCAATGTTATCGAACAAAAAATCGTGATAAATTGAGATAAGTAATTGATGGTTCTAGATATTTTAATACCAAAAAAAACGCAACTTAATTTAAAATTATCGCAATTTTTCCGTTGAAAAATGCAACTTGGAGAAACGGGACGAGGGAGGAATTTGCTTCAAGAATATATTTTCGCTCCCTGTGAACTTATCATGTGAGGAATGTCATCACTGGTAGAGGAACTTCCTCGAATACGTATCTAAGGGGCTTAGAGGACAAGGGTTATAGGGCAGTTTTTTAAAAAACTGAGATATTAATGATTTCAAGTAATCCTAGCCTTGCATATTCTGTGAAAAGATTGCTCCCACATTCCAATTTTTAAGCATGAAAAAGTCAGTTTGAACTTTCTTTCTGCCATATAAAGATCCATGCAATTTCACAACTTCAAACAGGTATTTCTCGAAGTAACGAAAACTGCACGTATGCGCCTTGTCCTCAAAGCTCCTCATTTGTATTTATTAAAATCAACATTTAAACGCAAATAATAAATGAGTGCCCATTAAAAACCAGCAGTCGTGTAGATTAATGCTTTGATTCCTTGGAACTATGGCGGTGGCCAATCACCATACCGTGGGAGCAGAGGATCTCGCGCTCAATCCTCATTGGTCGAATCACTATCCTGTCCGGTTCTCACCTCATTGGATGGTGATCGGCTACCGCAGTGCCGCCATAGAATCTAATGTATGGAACGGGATTAAACAGTTTTGTTTTGGTTTAATTCATCCTCTTTTAACTTCGGCCTTTTTTTCCTGGTATTGTTAGAATCTTTTCTGTGTTACTTGGATCCTCATCTCTCTATACCCCCTTCTCCCTCCCGCTCTCTCCCTTCTTCCTTCTTCGCCTCTCTAATTTCAAACAACGTTCAGCAGATAATCTAATCTCGCCTTCGTTTGCACTTGCAAATTTCCTCCGACATGAATGTTTTACTAAGTAATGGTAAATACCTCCAATAAAATATTTTGATACGCGTTTGGTATATTCGCTGGACTTCGTCAAATACTTTCAATGAAAATAATCATGCCGGTTTTACCTTGTGAAGTAAGAAAAAACTCTCCAGATGATTTATTGGATAGAATAGCTGACGGGCATGCATAATGGTCGCGTGATGACATGAACAATTATTTCCATTTTATGATGGTCAGAATGAATAAGAACATACCTTGTAGAACCAAGCTCCAGATTTTTTCCAGATTTCTCTCGTTTCAGCACATATTTTACACAACCATACGGAGGATTTTCGAGATGAGGAGGTTTCAATACTACATTTTGGGCAGACGGCCTAAAGAAAAGAAAAAAGTTCAAATTAGCGCTAGCAGCCGCTTTTCTCGCCATACACATTTCGTAGCCCCCTCCCCCCCTCCCCCTCGAAAGAACGTAATTACGTAATTTTTCGAACATGTGAAGATGAGTTCCAGTTATTTGACCTTTAACACCAATTATGATTGGCATCAAACGTAAAACTAAAAAATATGTTTATAAGAGGATACGTTCAATTAGAAGCCGAATTGGTATAATGACTAGCCTGCAGCGTCCGGTTCATTTTTCCTATTGCTTTTTGGTAAGTCCAGATTTCAACCAAATGATCTATTGCATTACCAAATTAGAAATACTAAATTTAGCTTTATAGGTGCATATGTTGAAGTGAGGCACCTCGTGCAGGTGTTTTTCTATGCGTGTACATGGCTAAAATGAATCGATGATTCCTTTTTAAAATTAATGATTGTGGACGAGTGGTTTATTTTTGCCTCCCTTCCACCCACCTCCAAGCAGACTTCCAGTCGGACGCCAAATCCCTACACAACTTTTCAAGACCCTGTAATGAAAAATAAGTGGACAATGCTCTCGGTCACAGGGCACACATCCGTCAAAGTTGCCATCAGAACATTACAATAAATACCGAAAAAAACAACAAAATACACGGAAACTATTCCAGTAACACTCAAGACACTAACAGAGTGGGATGTGAGAGGTAATTGATACCCTTTTTCGGAAAAGAATGTTGGACAAAGATGAACATTTCGCATGAGGTGATAAAAACAAGACAGGGGCCGTCCATAAATTGCAATGTATTTTAGGAGGAGTAGGTCAAGGAGAGCCAAGTGCCTTATAATATTAGAAAAGGGGTTAAGCTGAACCTGCGGTCAAATTTAAATTAGCGCAAAGCGCCTATTTTTAAGAAAATTCAATCGAAAACAATTTCCTTGAATCATATAGAGGATGAGCACAGAGGGGATTCACTTAAACCTGACGATAATTTTAAGTGGAGATCAAAAGCTGCCTGACATGCAACTGATATGGGGGAGGGGGGGGTCAAAAGATCGAAAAAAAAGATAGAGACAGCCCCACAAAACACTTAGTAGAACAAAATGAGAGCCCTACCACAAGGCAGAACCCCACAAAAAATTAAGAAATAAACGATTCGAGGAAGAGAGACGATTTTACTATCCCCCTCATTCGCGACTTCACCCTATATCTGGGCAGGAAAATTGAGAAAAGACGTAAAAAGAAGACGGGGTCAACGCACATATCACACAACACAAATCGTGCTACGGTGATAGTGTGTAAAATCATACAAACACCGACCACATCATTAATTCATGCACGATAACGTTCGAGGCGTGACCTGGTCAATGATTCGCTCAGAAAAATTTTCGAGAGACGATAGATTAGTTGCCAGACACAGCGGAGCAACACAATTTTTTTTTTTTTTTTAAAGTTACATCCCATAAAAAAGTGCTGTACATTTACTTGTTGACCAAACTAATACACTTGGCCAATAACGGCCAACTATAAACATCAATTCGGACACATAGTGGGCTAGTAATTAGATTAAATCGGCTCCTAATCAAACTTACCTCGACTCTATAGTGTAGGTATACATAACACATTTGAAGTGTTCTATTTTGGAGGCAACTATTGCATCTTAACCATAATCCTTAATGTTATCAGAGTGATTCAATTTGGACTCCTCAGAGTCCATTATCAGGACAGTTGTTTTTAGTTTATTTTCTGAGTATACAAAATCTGTAACAGAGGGTGGTTATTGTGTAAATAAATCCTCGAAAATTTAATGTTCACGCATTCTATACCCCAAAAAGGGGTACGCCCCCTGACTAATTTGCAATCCAGCCCCTCCCCCCCCCACGGCCACGCATTGCACGTCAGGCGTCACGCTAGAATCAGACACGTAAAATTTACATCATCCTCATTTTTACAACTGATTTTAAGATTTATCGTTGGTGACTGGTTGTTATGTTGGAGAATATCTATGAGGTACATCATAAAAAAATTTCGAGACACATAATATCAAACCATGTAAAAGGCCTTATAACTATACGTAAAAAGGTTTTATTTATTTTTTTATTGTCACACATCATTTGCGACTGTCCACGGCGAGAAGACCCCTAGTCAAGTTTGAATCAACAAACACAAAGACGACATTTCCTTAGGTCCCAATTAGCACGAACTGCGATCCGCAGTTACATGGTAAAATTGGTGCTGCCGCATCGTAATGCTGAGTATGTTGCCCATCTACAGATTGAAGGCGCACGGCTTCTTGAAATTTATTGCGATATAATTGAAATAAGTGGCAATTTTTTGTTGCATTGCCTACTGCCTATCTTTCTGACACATGGAGCTCACTTTGTTTATTGTTTAAAATTGGCATTATTTGACCAAGTTAGGTAAAATTGTTGCATTTTTATGGTGAGAAGATTTCAATTTTATTGCAATAATCACAATTGTATTTCACTATTTTAATACTGCACTGTTGAACTACTTAGGAAGAGTTAAATGCGGAAATAATCGACGTGTTCACCGAATTCTAAATAAAGTTTGACGAAGAAAAATGGTCTAAAAGTCCGTATCCATTTTGGTTTTTGTTGACTAAGGCCCCGTTTTGTGTGGCCTGTGACATTTGACATTTTTGCAAGGAGGCAGATGCATGAAAAGCTTAAAAAATCATACCTTACGGCAGTCATAACAAATTGTACAAGTTGATCCCAGAAGGCCAAAACGATCGCCACACAGAATGCATTGATTGTCGCCGGTGCCCATCATATTCCGCTTCATGTTTTCTAGCCGCTCAACAAGTCGTCTACCGATTAAGAAAATCCATATTAATTTAAAATTTCCTTTTGGTGTACCTTCCAGCGCGGTAAAATTTCAAAGACATGAGTCGGATCTAGGTTACGGTGTTTCAAAATTTTCGTTTTTCCATTTTTTAAAAATAATATTATACTCACTATTGGATTCATATTTCAACTATAGATCATTCCAAATCTCTTATCTATTGAGGTATATAAAGGTTATATTAATTTACCTGATTAGGTGGTTTAGGGTTATGGGTTGAACTATGAATAATTGATTAATAATTTGATATCTAATGGAAGTATGTCTTGTTTTGTTTGTGGGCTTGTGTACATCAGGAAAAGGATATAGAGCTAGGGAAATAATGATAGGCACAATTTCAAAATATTGATCTTATTCTTGCAGAGTGATCATCTTTGATAAGATTTTTAATGAAAAAAAAATGCGTGAAGCAAAGTTTTGATACTATGCCACCCCGGTATTGGGTGGACCGTCCTTGATAGGGCAGCAACTCAGTGTTCTTTTTATTGGACGACCCTTACGGGAAAATTCTCCTCTTCTTACCAAAAAAAAGTAAGTACTTAAATTTTTATTAGATCAATGATCTTCTCTCTCATGTAATTATAGCTATTAAATATGATTAAGGTTTTATGTATGAGATATTTGAGAATTAAACCAGAAATATGGGTCGTCCCTTAGTTACGTAACGCTCTAGGGGAGGAATAGGTGGTCGAGGGGAGCGTTGCGCCATTTTTTTACGTGTTAAAGGATAGGGACCTACTTTACAAAAACGTTACAAGGAGTGGAGGGGAGGGGGGGGGGGTAAAAATTCCGAAAAAGTGCAATACGTAATGTAGGGACGGCCCATAATTGACTTCAAAAAACAATATCACAAAGACATTAGAAAAGTGAAGACTGTGGGGGACTATTTAGTATTGCTTAACTCAACCGCAAAATTATAGAGTTGTTAGATGCAGTATGGGAATTTGCTCAATGAGTCTTATTAAAATGCGAATATCAAATTCTAAAAAAAATGATGTTTTACCCAATGCGTTCTTGCTCGACGTTTTCAAGAGCTTCGGCCCTCTGAACAACATTGGCAATAATTTGTTGCTCGTTTTCGTCAAGCGGTTTCCACTTGGTGCCGTGCTGTCGTAACTGTTGGTTCTTCATCGACCAGCCAATTTGAAGCCTAGAGAAGAAACGGAAACAAATTAACGGTTTTTCGCTCAGATAATGCCAATATGAATGCTCATTCTTGAGAGAAGGTACTATTTCACTAAAGCAACATTAGTCAGGTCGAAAAATCTGATTTTAGATTTTCTTGAAAAATATCTCTCATGTCTTGAAGAACAAATGGAAAGAAGATAACTTTTTTTTGTCCTCGCCAGTAACTCGAGTAGCACAGGTTATATAATGTTGCCTATCCGCTATTAAAAAGGCTCCTATGATTGAATTTCACCGCAATTAAATGGAAATGGGTTCGTTGAAATTATTGATTGCAGTGCAAAATCAAAACAGCCAAGTTCCGATACCCGGATTATCGTTTTCCATAGTTCATATTACTTTGTTATATTCCGTACCACTTGTTCATTCTTAATCCTCGTATAAAAACCACCCATTTGCTAAATACAATTCTAGCTGAAGCTCAATTCATCTATGCATTCACGACTGCAAAAATGTGAAAGAAAATCGAAAAGGTCAGCGTGCATGAAGGCTATTTCAATTGTAATCTTCCGTCACATTCTTACGGCGCAATGATACAACTATTTGAACTCTCCAGAATGCGTGAGGTATCACGCTGCATTTGAAGGCGTTTTCAAAACAGCCAAGTCCCGATACCCGGATTATCGTTTTGCATAGTTCATATTATTTTGTTATATTCCGTACCACTCGTTTATTCTTAATCCTCATATAAAAACCACCAATTTGCTAAATACAATTAATTATTGACTACATCGTATAAACATATTGCCATTTCGTGGTGAAAAATGGCAATTTTATCGCATTCAATTGCAACTTATCCATCTCCATTTTTTAGTTTCGCTGTGGTACTTGGGCGGAGGACGTGCAGTTGAATTATAACTCAGCACTTTGTGCTCTGAACACAGCAAAATAAAATTTTGAGTACATCTCTCTCGACTCTACGTTTTCTAAATTACAAGCATTAAACCGCCTTAATTGCAAATTGATTCCATGTTTTGGGGCGTTTCTTGTCGATTACCTCTATAATAAAACGAGGATTAATCAAACTATAAAACCTAAGAAAGGCACAGGGTTAATGAAGACCTGAAAAGAGAAAAACTTTTGTCAATTTTACAAAAATGTTGCGCTTATAAATCATGCCTCGACTTACTTTGCACGTAAAGCAAGCTGCCTGTTATTGGGGCAGATCCAGTCAGAATTCAAATCAGTTCCCAGATCAACCATCCTTGATTTTTCCCAAAAAAACACAGATGGCTTTGAAACTGCAACAAACAAAAGAGACGAAAAAATATTAGCGTTGCCCTTTATTAATTTATTATGTTGCCGACCGCTTTTTCGTGTGATTCTTTGTTACCGGTGTTTCATTAAAACACCCCTCCTCAAATATGTAAGTATTTCCTTGACTCTAGTCTGCCGCATACGTATTTTGCACGCTAATGTACAAATGCGTGCTTGTCTACACGAAAAGGGTTGTTGACCCACGAAAACTTAAAATTGAGTGTTGTATATCGACGGTGAAACTACCAAACCACGTATCTCGTTTGCGGTGTTTAAAAATCTACGCTCGCGTTTTATTTTTTTGAAGTAGACCAAATCAATATCATTCCTGGAAATTTTCACAGAATTTTCTCCGCGCGAAGAGGAAAAATCACAGAAATTTTCAAGACTGGACGTTGAGTAGTTTTTCATTTAAAAAATAAAGTATGACAGGAAGTCTGCGACGTCGCAAACCGAGATACGTGGTTTGGTAGTTTCACCGTCGATATATCATTACTCAGAGGAGTTTTTCACGGATATCTTATATCACATTGACTGTGAGACCTAGCCAAAAATCAAGTGACTTCAAAAAACAATTTAAGAAAAACTCATACAATATTCGGAATCTGTACCTACTTTTTCTGAACAAAGAGAAAAATGGATCATGGTAACTGAAATGAAGGTAGATTTTCCCTGTGCTAAGACCGGAGACAGGAAAGTTAATATATCGTACCTCCCCGGCGATTGTTCTGATCTGTGTTGGATCGCTGCTTGTTTGCCTGTTTTCAATTCGGTTGTGCAACCATATGCGCAGAGCTTGGAGACGAACGACGAGGTTTTAGGATAAATTTGGTCCTCAAATCTGTGTACAGCCATATCTCAGAATCTATCTGTTGAATTTCATTCAAAATTTGCAGAGAAGACCATATCTATGGTCTCCTTATGCACGTCAAACTATTTTGGGGTAGGTACGCTAAAATTTGGAAGGGGGGGGGCTAGGGGCCAAGATTCATTCTAAGCAAAATCACACAGAGAGCTCATTTTGGAGAACTGTAAATTTTGAAAAATGCTTTTATTTCTTGAAAAGTGGGCATCAAGCACACCACGTGGGTCCTAAAAGATCTTTGGAGTAAACTCAAAATTCGAGGGATACGGGTCATATGGCGAGGGCACTTTTTTCAGTGTTGATCATTTCTAGTTACTGAGTAGTCAAAGAAACAACTTAAATCGGGACTATGGCCGCAAATAATAAAAAGAACACATAAAATAAAATAAAAAAACTCGGGACGTTTCGCAGGGATCACACCCGCATTTTCAACCGGCAAAACAAAGAAAATTAAAAAGAAGGACACTTATGAGCCTCACCGCTGATATTGTGAGACTCAAACGTCAACGTCAAACGAAACGTTCCGGGTTTTTAATTTCATTTTATGTGTTCTTTTTATTATTTACGGCCTTAGTTCCGATTTAAGTTGTTTCTTTGTCAGTGTTTCGGGCCGATTAAGTTGTTTCTTCTATTATTACTGAGTAGTTTTGGCCAGGTTTTGAGATCGAATATAACTGTGCGGCGACGTCGCGTCGGGCCGGGCCATATTGTGCTCATTATCGCACTTGGATGTTCCAGAAGTGATAGCTACCACTATTTCCTGGATGTCAAGGTCGTCGCCTCGTCACCCCGCTCCCCGTCCTCCAACCAGCAGCTGTGTTACGTTTCCCTTTTTCAGACATGACATTGTCTGAGCCAGAGCCGAGCGAAAATTCCCGACGCAGGCTCAGGCACACACCCACACCCAGACATCCATCGAAACATTGGCATTACCGCCATTGGCGGCTCCAGCAAATCGGCAACACAGTGCTTCCATTTCCCGGAACTAGATCAGAATTCCGGAACTTTTGAGATTTTCCTTGATTTTCCCCGGAACTTTTGGAATTCCCGAATAGTTCCGGATCTTTCGAATTTTCCGGAACTTTCTAAGAACATTTGAAAAATCTATAAGGAATCGTCGAATTTTTGACGGTCATGGTGTGGGAGAAATTGGAACAAAAAAGTTCCGAATCCCGGAACTTTTGACGGTCATGGAATGGGAGCACTGCGGCAACATTGTTTTTCTCCATCTAAACCTATGGAAATGTATCGATTCTTGGAGGAGCCAGGTGCCCCGACAAGAATCTATTATTTAAAATAGGTTTAAATGAAGGAAATCCGGTGTTGCCAAATTGCTGGATCCGCTTCTGATTACCGAGGCTTCGCCGGAACTGCAAAAAGTTGCGAGACCTGTCTGCCTATAATACGGTCAACCCTCAGACGCCCGGGGGAGGGTGGTGGTGGTTAAAATCTGACTCAAAAATCGACGATTATATCGATAATATGACAGACGTATCGATGGCATGAAGTCCATGACATTGTAAGTTATGGTGAAAGTTAGTACTTTTAAAATTGCAATTTTCCAAGTGTGAAAAAAATGTAATTTAGAACGGAACTTTTCGAAAAATGTTTATGATGGTCTCGGTTGAATCGAAGCAGATGAAGTAAGGATTAGGGAAGCTCATACGTTGAAAGTATCGTAAAAATCAATAGGTAACCAGCAATTTAATACAGACGAAGTTGTCTAAGTAAGAAAGCGCAGCTATTGCCGTTATTGAAAAATATAGATTTCAACAAAATATGTATTACAAAGAAACAAAATAAGGAAAATGCACACAAATTGGCTCAAATTTGTCTTTTTAGCAAGGAATATGCACACAGAATAAAAAAAAACTAATAGTAAATAAATGTATTGCTAACGTCAAAAAATGATAATGCTGCGATTTTATCAGGGAGTGAAAGACTCACAGCCCGGTTCAGTCAAAGTTTGTGGAGCGAAATTAATTTATGCTCCTCGAAGACGAAACTACTGGAAATTATAGATTTCAACAAGAGATGTACTACAAAGAAATAAAATTAAGAAAATTCACACAAACTGGCTCAAATTAGTATTTTTAGCAAGAAATATGCACACAGAATAAAAAAAACTAATAGTATAAATAAATGTATTGCTAACGTCAAAAAAATGATCATGCTGCGATTCTATCAGGGAATGAAAGACTCACAGCCCGGTTCAGCCGAAGTTTGTGGAGCGAAATTAATTTATGTTCCTCGAATACGAAACTACTGGGGCTCCCCGGAAGGTTGGTTGCCTATTCGGTGAAATTGAAGGCGAACTTCGGTGCGCGGTATGTAAATCGTAGCGGGAATTTCCCCGAGACCGTTCTCAGGAATTCCCGGGAGTAAACTGTTTCGATCCACCTCGGTAACTTCCTCATAAGAGCTTTCAAGGAGAATAGTTTCCTCGACATTTCCACCGTATCTGCATCGAAAATACTTCAGCATGATGACATGATGACATCGCAATGACTTAGCGCACATATCAGATGAAGTGTGTTAAAATTAATAGACTTGGTAGAATTTTCCTCTCTGAGATATATTTTAACCGGCTGGTCAATTTCACACAGAGACAACACAGTCCTGTCAAGTAAGAGCACAGTATGTGAAGGGCTTTTACCGTAGGTCCTTTTGATTTCCAAAAATTGACACACGCGCGAATTTCTTTGAAACTTTCTTCGTACCATTAAGAATAATTTTTGGTTTAATAGGGCAGGCTCTGGAAATTATGCTGATTTTTTACGGCCTGTTCCCTTTTTATGCTCGTGTATATCTATCAATATATTCAGCTCACTCGTCGTCTCCTGTTCAATGAGTTGTGCAACGATCTATACGTATGTTCTTCAAGAGATAACCAAGCGTGGTCCCTGGTAAATTTGTTGCTTTTAGGCGGAATTGAAGGCGAACTTTAGGCGCATGATACCTATCAGTATTTTGAGCTCACGCATCCTTTCTTATTCTACGAATCGTGAAACGCGCTATTCTCAAGGAAAACTTTTAGCTCTTACATCCTCTCTAATAAATCGTGATAATCTCTAATAAAAATAATCTCCATAAATCATGAAACGAGCAATTCTGATGTTTTTTTAGAGAGACTATTCGTGCTTTATAGTAGGTTGGTTGCCTATACGGTGAAATTGAAGGCAAACTCTAAGTGCATGCTATCTACTAGTATTTTCTGCTCACACGTGCACTTCCTCTCTTGCACAAAGAATCGTGCGACGAGTTATACGCGTGCTTTCTGAGGAGATAACTATTCGTGCTCCCTGGTAAGTTTGTTGCCTATATGGCGAAATTGAAGGCGAACTTATACCTACCAGTATTTTCAGCTCATGCATCCTTCCTTGTTCTAAGAATCGTGAAACGAGCTATTCTTGTTTTTTCACAGGTATAACTACTCGTGTTCTCCGGTAGGTTTGTTGCCTAAACGGCGGAATTGAAGGCGAACTTAAAATGCGTGATGCATAATGATAAGTGCGCAAAAAATGACGTAGTTTCCGGCAAGACAGCAGTTAAGCACATTATTCCGCCAGAGAGCCAATTAAAATAGGGCTTTCAAGTAAAGTGCCGCCCTCTTCTGCCAATTTTTAACCTGAAAATGTGTTTGTTGTGGTTGTGTGTCCAAAACGCAACCACGAGAGCATACAGAAGATAGCACTTACGGCTGCGTCTTGCCTAACAATAGCCCAGCATGAAAATGAAAAGTACCTTCTTCAGGTAATTGAAATTAAATCGGTCGATTTTTAATCATCCCAACTATTTCTAGTAGTCTTTCAGACGATTAGTCTCAATTTGAGAAAGAACAAAGGCTCCTTTTCCGGTCAGAATGCTTTTCCGGAAAATTTTCCGGTCAGATGCTTGCTGAGCCCGTTTTCTCAAAACTTCATTTTTGGACTTACTGCTCTCCTCGCAATCACGGCAGAGTCGCAAGCCCTATTAGCGTGACGGCAAAAATCAAAATACAGCAGTGGCGTCATCTACGCGGAAAAATGTCCCACTACGTGAAGGGATTTCTCCTGCGAGGGGCAGCGCGGGGTGCGGGCTGGGGACATGCGCCGTGGCCGTAAGTTGTCGCCTGTCGCG